TTCATTTGTAAATTTATATATTGTACCAGTAGCTGTGTGAAATGTTTTGGGAGAAGAGAGTTTGCTTGTTTCTAACCTGTGATATACTGTACATTACTGTATTTGAATTTCAATTATCTTGATTTCAGAAATTGTAGATTTTATTTTTATCGAATACGGTACAATACTGGTGTGTAAATGGTAATTATAGTACCTGAACTAGGATTGATAAAATTTGTGATTCAATTCTCTAGTTCTTTTAAGTTTTTGCAATATGGTTACTTTGTTTACTTCCATTAAAATTGTATTAATTTTTCCCATGATAGTCTACCAATTAAATAATGTACAGGATATCAATCTGTGAGAAGTATAGTAGTACTGTATAATTGTATAAGGTGACCTTGCTGAAAAGTTAAAATACATTGAACAACTGTCAACTAACAACTAACCAGTCTGTGTATAGTATGCATGGCAACTTGAATGGTCTGAAGGTAAAGTACAGTATTGTACTTATTAAATATACAGTATTTTATTTGTAAAACTGTATCTCTTACTATTCTTAAATACTGTACAAACCTTGCATGGAATAGCAAGTTTCAGGATAAAGAGCAATACAGGTACAGGTATATATTTTGGCAAGTACTTTTTCAGATTACTGTACAAAAAACTTCTTCATTCGGAGAAGGATAGACTGGTGGAACAGTTGGCCTACTGAAGCGTTGGTTCCTAGAACAGTGTTGACTTATTACAACCTTAGGCAAGATAATCATGAAATATGGGGTGTGGTAATCTATGCTAGGTGAGGGTACAGGGGAGGGATGTTTTTGAAGAATAGAAGTGGTATAAAATTAAACTAAAGGGGAGAGACTTACTCACTGTAGGATGTATCTACAGATCCCCAAATTGCATCTTATTGAACCAAAGGAACTTAAGAGCCATAATTGACATCACAAAGCAACAGTACTCAACCCTAGCCACCTTCTTGTTATAGGGGACTATAACTATGGTGACAGCGACTGGAGAAATGCAACTCGCTAAATGACCCTAATAACCCCGCTACTCTTTTTTTATAGAAACTCTTGAGAGACGATTTTCTATTACCAATATGTTACAGACCTGACTCACTACAGAGAGAAACAAACAAACTGTTGGACCTCATCATAACTAACAAGGAGGGCATGGTGGTCAAGTTGGTACATCTAGCCCCCATTGACACCAGTCACCGTGTAATGCTGTCCTTCAGATTTAACTGCTGCTTGGTTCATGACTATAGCAGGCCAAGGTTCAAATTACAAGGGCAGTTAAGATGGGATAAGGGAGGAGATGAGGGGTATTCACTGGCCCAACTAAGATATAAGAATGCAGACATTATGCTTAATATAGCCAGTAAAGTGAACTATTTGATTGATAAATATATACTCAAGACCAAACCCAGTGGCTCCAGGAATAAAAGGAGACTGCACCGACCACTACACATAAACCATGCGGCAGTTGACAAAGTTAAGAAAAAATCTCAGAAACTCAAGATGTGGGTTATGGCAAAAGGTGAGCAGGACAGGAGGATGTATGCCAGGTCCAGGAACCAAGTAAAGTCTGAGTGCAGAAGGGATATAAAAGGTCAGGTCAAACCCAAAGGCATTTTACTGTTATGCAAAATTAAAATTAAAAAGATGGTAGTTGCACAGATTCAGAGCAGCGTCTTGACGGGTTAAATTCTTTTCCTCAGTGTTCACAAGAGAGGTTGCGAACAATCTTCCTGAATTTGAGGAAAGACGGTTTGACACAACACTGACCCACATTGTGTTCTCAGAAGAGGGCATAAGAAATAAATTGTCAAAGCTAAAGGTCCATGAGAGTCCCAACCCTGATATGGTGCATGCCAGAGTGGGCAAGGGGTGACCTAATTGAAGTTTATAAGCATCTAACAGGGCACCACTCAGTCGAATATCCATACTTGGAGCTGGTGGGTGCCTGCCCAACAAGGGATCACAACTCAAGGTTGAAAAAGCCACAGGTCCAGAAAACTGTGAAGGTAAACTTTTTTGGAGTGAGATTTGTAAATGCTAAGAACATCCCAGTACTTGCCAACAATGCGTAACGGACACATGATCGACTGCCTAAGCGGCTAACAAACTGTTCAATGATGAAGAGGACAAAATTAAAAGTAAAGTAAAATAGGAATGAAAATTAGGAAAAATAGTTCCAATGACATGCTTGAATTATTTATTAAATCGTGTATTACTTTTTACTTTTATCCTCTTCGCCACTGATTGGCTTATTGCTATGGTGTTCTTGTAAGAAATATATATATATATATATATATATATATATATATATATATATATATATATATATATATATATATATATATATATATATATATATATATATATATATATATATATATATATATATATATATATATATATATATATATATATATATATATATATATATATATATATATATATATATATATATATATATATATATACAGTTGGTCCTCACATTAAGCGGTCCCGCATTCCGCGTTTCACCGTTAACGCGGTGCCTTGCCAGAACCTAACATTCTTACATTCCGCGGTCGTGAACCCCATTACGCGGAGAGCGGCTGGCAAGCCGCGCCATTTTTGGATCCAAACCTCCCGCCATCCGCCATGTTGTGTAAGAGGCGCGAAAATGGTGCGCACAAGGTCGCCCAGTCATCAAAACATTACCGAGTTCTTTACCCGCCACCCACCACAACCGGCCCAAGTCAGTGATAGTGATAATTATAGTGAGGATATGGACTTATATGGACTTTGAGGGGTTTAACAAAGAGGCCCTGCAAGCCTCTGTGGTGGATAGTGATACAATTGATACCAGTGATACAGGTGAGGGCCAATAATCTGCCCTCTGCCTCGGAACCAACCCCCCATCCCCGTGTGCCCAGCCATCTTTTCTACTAATGTAAGTGTTAAAAAACCTAATATTATTGATATTTCTCTTAATTATTAATTGTGTGTGCATGCCATCATAAAGTTAAGATAATATTTTTACTACAACATAGTTGTGTGTCGTCAAAAAGTGGAGTTTGGGGATCGGCCTGGACTCCATTTCAATTAATCCCATATGTTATGTTGTTCACTTTACGCGTTCCTCACTTTCCGGACCCTCCGACACCCCAGCAGGCGCATCTGACGACTCTGTACCTGCCGTGAGGGAAGCACAACATTCATCGCCTCCACACACCCTTTTTCTCCCTCTCTACTCCCACAGATATTGTGTATCTAGACAGTTGTCTCCTCTAGCGGCCGGCTCATCCACACCATCGCCGTTATGGCTCACATGTGGCATGCACCGCCCGTTCTGCCTCACATGTGCTAAGCAACCCAGCAGACAACAAGTCTCCTACACCGCCTGGAGGGAAGGGAGGAGTATTGTAGTGGATTTCTCCCCTACAAACGCTGGGTAGCCGACCCCGCGAATTCCCCAGTGTATGCCTCGTCGTCTAGGTCAACCAGCGCCGCCCACGGAGCGGGGGTCAAGTATCTACCCACGCCTACCTCTATAAAAGACCTGACCTCGTGGTGACCTCTCTCTTTCTACCTACACCAACCAGTAAGCAACACCTCCTCCTCCTCCTGCCTGGCGGTCCTCGCTCCCGCCGGCGAGCATGGTGACCATGGCGACCCACACGCTGGTCCTCCTCTGAGCATCCTCACAAATCAGATATCTCTACATCACGCTTGTAACCACGCTGCCACTTCCCAGCACCAAGCTGCATGGTACATCCAATACAACATGCATACAGAGAGCACATTGTGAGTTTCCTTTCTCCATCCCATCCTGAGTGTGAACCAAATAACACGTACCCCACAACATAATTAGATTTGATCCCAATTTGTTTCAAAGAAAATTAAATATTTAAAAATGTAATTGGAATATTTAAATATAAGATGAACAATAATTAAATCTACAAATATAAATAAAAACAAAAGTACTTTTTACGAACGTTTATGAACAAATATATTAATATTGTCTATTGTTTTATGTTGATCACTATATTTTCTGATATCGCTGCTTCATTCGTTCGATCAACGTACAATTTATAAAAAAAATTAGTCATTCATTACTTACAGCCGTTTTCTATGATGAAGCACAGATTAATACGTTTTCTTTAATAGTTACCCTTGTAATACCAAACGATCTTTATTATGTCACACGCTCCATAGATGGCGCGTCAATCGGAGATCACGAAGATACTGTACCTGTATTATGTTTTGGGGCGAGTTCAACATCCTACTTCTATAACCCTTGACCTGCACAGAGCACAGTACTAACACAGAAAAATGAAGGTCGTAACCTAGAAGACAACAAAACATTGCAAAAACTTCGTCTCGTTTCTAGAAAAAATATAGTTTGAGGTAGCTGGTATAAAGAAAAGTAACGACAATGGTCACAGACTTACCTTGTCTAAAATTACAGGGGGGTAATTATCGAATGAGGTCTTTTTGTAGTAAAATTTCACTGGTGCTGTGCAATGGAACTCACAGTTACCACCTCTTGTGATGTAATGGAAGACATTATATAATGATCAGCTTATGTTACACTGGAAGACACTGTATACTGATCATCTGAGTTACAATCAACACTAACACGCCTGGACAGAACAGTGTTTGACACAGGACACTGTCACACTGGTGACTGAACAGTGAACAGCCTGGTGGGCATTCCTCGCTGGTGGGCGTGGCTCCAAACTACCAGGTGGATAGTTTGGTTATGAAACACTAAATCAGTGATAGTAAGCTTACATTGGTTATCAAACACTAAATTAGTAAGTTTACATTACTATACATGTTTTTTGAGAACCTAAATAATAAAGAATGTTGGAATATATCAGCTTGACTTCACAAGTATAATAATAATAATAATAATAATAATAATAATAATAATAATAATAATAATAATAATAATAATAATAATAATGATAATAATAATAATAATAATAATAATAATAACAGCAATAATAAAACTCAGACTAGTTCCATTTATTTATTTGTCTCTTCGTGGTCGTATACAATCTACCATTAATTTATTAGCAACGATAATCCATAAAACTTCAACAAAAACATAAATTTCTCTATAACCTGCCTCACAAACCCGTCCGCCAGCAAGAGTAACTAGCAGCGCCTGGCGTTCTTTTCCTCCCAAGCAGTGGTACGCTTATGGAAGTTACGCCAGACGAACATTCTCCCACCTTCTGCTTGCAGTGCGATCTGTAAACAGTAGAAGCACTAGACGCCATTAGACACAAGCGAGTCAGCAGACATTTGTAGGATGGTCATGGCTACTCCTTGTGTTACCTATTTATTCTCACAGATGAAAATGACAAGAACTTGTAGATCAGAATTAACAAGAAAGACGATAAAATAGTAAATAAAAAAGGACTATTAAATCCCACTCACTCAAACGTTGAATACAGGAGTTGTTTAAAGATGAGCAAAGCATATTCGGTAATAGACAGTAGGTAAAAAAAAAACGAAACCCAAAACTCACTATATCCAAGGATTGATGTGACCTTAGCAGTGATTTGGTGTGACTGTGATGATGTAATCGTCTCGTATCACAAACTATTAAGGAACTGAAACAATTGGCCCACTTTAGTACACAAGTAAACTTCTGGGTGTATAGATAACATGCAAATATTCTGGACTGATGTTAGAGGCGGTCAAGTCTTTGTTCACCGACATCCCAAGACTTTGATTGGCCACAAATATATGTTTTAGGTTAAAAAATATTCTTAACATGTTGTGTGCTTACTACAAGAAGCCTTTGCCGTGTCGTAACCTCACAACACAGAGCCTCAGTGCCTCCACCAAATGTCCTGAAAGACTCGAATGTGTCTCCTGGGCGAATCTCTTAGCGACTAAGAGAAAACCAAGGAGGAGAAAGACAATCTGTCATCCGCTTCGAACAAGAGACATTATGAAATATAATCACACGTTCAATGTGCTTTGTATAGCAGCAAAATATGATGATGCTGTAGATGAAATACAAACTAGAATTGGTGATAAAAAGTGAATTAAGGGTTAACATACATGGATGGGTCAGAGTATGAGTCTACTTTCTGAAAAAAGGAGAACGCTTGATAAAATGGTTTCTAAAGTTACGTATTCCCACGGGGTTCTCCTTCTTCACCCCCAACAACTTTCCTCCATGATGTAAACACAAATTCTCTCCTTAATAATTTGGCTACTAAGGTATACAGTATGTGCAGTTCATACCTACGGGATCTTTCAGTTTCCTATTTTAATTACCTTTGCACGTATATTAATTACCTTTACATATGTTTTAACCACCTTCACATTTTTTTAATCACTGTTATAATGATTTAATCGCCCTTACACATATTTTAATTATTTTTACTTCATACCTTAAGCAAATTATACAGCCGCGTTGAGCTGGTTTTCACACTACTGTACATAACAAACAATTACAGATTTTACCGAATGTTACATCAAACTCATAAGACTTAGAAATAATTACAATAAAAACTGTACACAAGGTCTCATTACTATACACATATTAGAGTATCAATAATAAACCTATGTCGAGAATGTAAATAAATAATTCATAAGCCTTGTAAAAGAATCAGGGTTAATAATATTAATTGTAATCCAAGGAACAGAGAAGATTGAAGCAGTTAAAGACAATATAGTTAACTGTTTTAACTTCACGATTAATTTTTTTTGGACCCAGCGGACGCCAGATGAAGAAGGTGTAGGGATTATCATCATCATTATCACCAACAGCACCTTCATTACTACAATCACTATCATCATCAACATCATCATCATTACTACAATCACCATCATTATCATCACAATCATTCTCATCATTACCATCACCATCAGAGCGTCGTATCAAATGTTGTGTTATGTATATAAAAATATGGTGAGGCGGGAAGGCGTACGTACTTAGAAACCTCCCTCATGTCACTTGAGAAATTTTAACTAGATGTTTTTTTTATGGTTTTAACCCTTTGAGGATAATGGTTTAACCCTCTGAGGACGATGGTTTAAGTTATAACTCTTCCTCAGAATGTATAATCTCAGCTATAATCCTCAAGGGGGTTAAGCCATTGTCCTCAAAGGGTTCAGCTCCTGACAACACCAATACAACTTTTCCCAAAAATCCAGGCAAATATTTCATAGCCAAAAAAGAACAAACAAACAAATGTACATAATTGCCTCAACTTCAGTTTGTGTCAGACCAAATATACTTTTTTCTATCGCATAAAAAGGCAAATATTTTATGATATATATTTATATATATATATGTATATATGCACAATATATAGATACAAACTACAAAACGAAATCAAATTTTCAAAATAATAATTCCACAACGTTTGACAACAAATTCCTCGACCACACACAGACACACCGCAGACACGCACACAGACACACGTTTACATAAAAGTGTTCGTTGCAAAAAGAGATCCAGAAATTAAATATACTCGTATGTACAGATATTTTTTTCCATGCATTATTAATATTTACAAACTAGTAGACGAGAGCAGGAGCAAGGTATAAGATCAACCTCATTTACCACAACAATAAGGCTCACTTCCCCTTAACTATCCTGAGGAAAATTAGCATTATCATCACCCTTCCATAAGGCTTGTATAAAATTATTATCATATCTTTTTCAGATTTCCGTAACAAGGGTAAAATTTTCAATCTTCGCCCACAGCTCGACTCAGCAAACCTAAACAACCAGTGAAGAATTGGTTCATGAGGGTATTTTGTGCTTGTATCACATTGGTAGTTGAACACCTCCCAACAACCGTTCATCTGGGACAGGTAGTCATCACGCAGGCTTTCAAACATCATCTCGATAGGAGGGAACAATGAGGGATAGGAAGAGGAAGAAGAGTAGGCGGAGGATGAAGGAAAGAGAATCACCTCAGACCATTCAATAATGGAGTGAGGGGACGTGGAAGAGAGTGAGGAGTGAGCCCTGTCTCCCCTTAAGAGCCATCCTAGACTCTCTTCGTTATGAGAGAGAGAGTGAGAAGAGAAAGAGAGAGAAGGAAATATTACAGCTATTAGTGTTGATGAAGTCAAAGATGAGCAATGACATTTATAGAATCCAATATGAATTAGATTTTTGGTTTGATCACAACATCTAGCTCACCAGGGTCAGTAAACAATGACGTCTGGAAAGCGCTCTTATTAAAACAAGTGAAGTACGACGCTACCGTTACCCTCACCTACCTTACTGTTAATGTATATTTAAAATCCCATAATTTCTCTTTAGCAATGTAAAAAATAGTCTTGTACGATATTTCAGAGGCGTTTGACTGAAAAAGAGCCATCATTGAGCTTTGCAGCGTAAATATCCCCGTAAGTCAGGACTCGAAACCGGGATTAGCAGGTGAAAATACTACTGAGTTCAAACCCGGGGACTAGCAAGATGCCCAATTACCACCGGGATCCAATACTGATACGCAGATACTTCAGCTACCTTAACACACCCAAACAATGCAATTTGTGTCATAAAGTTTGTTAAGATGGAATTAATATATATTTTTGCATTTTTTTTTACACAACTTCTCTTTGCGACGAACTAGACAAACCAAGAACAAGAATATTTAGCACCAGCTGTACTGAAAAAGTTAATAATCATATCAATATTACAAGCAGAAGCTACAAACACTAACGTTGAACATCCTTGTGCACTGTTGCCATCAAGTCGGTACAGTATATATAAAACGAAGAACATTGTCTATATAAAAACCATTACAAGTGTACTTTGTATATACATCTCAACCCGTGTTACACTTAGTAATTAATATATAGACTTACTATTTCTTATTTTCCAAGTGTCTGGCGGTATAGTGTCTTGAGTCACTTGATATAAAAAAAAGGTTTTCACTAATTTTTGTTCTTGAGCAAGTTACGGGTCACAGTGCTCGCTATCAACACCATTTTCTTTTACAATACACCGTTTTCTATTACGGTGCACCATATTTAACACTAACTATTCATTTCTATGATAACATATAAATTTCTAGAACTGTGCACCGTTTTCTATCACCACGTACTGTTTATATTGCACTGCACCATTTTCCTACATTTAATTCACTCGGTGCTCAAGACACAAACCCCGTTAAAGTGTTCTTGAGATTAAACTTTTTTTCGAGTCAATAAAATTCATATTAAAATCTTGAATGTCAACAACAACTTCCTTATATACAACTTCACTATTTTTTTACGATTTTAAAAGTTTAAATACTATAGGAGTTATCAATACAGTTAAGGAGGGATAAATGTTCCAATGACTCTACCACATTGTCTTCTTTACAATGCCATATAAACAAACACCTTGAACTAAATGATTACAATATCAATTTATAAATCTCAAATGTCATATTTAAACAAAGAGGAGGTTTTATATCCCCTTATATATATATATATATATATATATATATATATATATATATATATATATATATATATATATATATATATATATATATATATATATATATATATATATATATATATATATATAGTTATCCTGGTATATACAGTGCGGGTGACATTACGAATGGGATCCGATAAACAACAGTGACCTTTGATACCAAGGGGTTGAGGCTAACTGCCTCTCCCCCCCAGTTGAACAGCGTCAGGGGAAAGTGAACCTCAGTGACGGGGTATTTGGTGGCCAGGGTCGCGTGTCAGGTCGCCAGTGTGGGTGTATAGGTGAAACTCGACCTATTTACAAATGGGTGTTGATGAGGGAGAGTGTGGGGGTAGAGGTGCTGGTTCAGACACGCTTTTACCTGGAGGAAGGAAGACGAAGATTAAGGAATTTAGTATATTTCACCTGATAATTAGATACCCTAACCTTATCTATAATCCCGGTGCTAGGTTAGGTTACGTTAGGTTAGCTTAAGTTAGATTAGATTACGGTGGTTAATGAGTCATAATTATCAATATTTTTTACACACGAAACTTGATATTCACGTTATTTTGAATCGAGGCCCATTATGGGGATATTTTAGTAGTGTTATTATGTGAGTAGTGTTATTATGGGGTAACTTACGTATACGAGTATTCAGTATTTTGTATCTGTGCCGTTTGTGTGAGGTGTTACTGTTGGGGTTCTGTGTGTGGTGTCGTAGTGCGAGGATGTTTGTGTTGTTAACTCACCATAATAAATAAGTGGTGGATGCGCGGGTGGGGCGAGGATCAGAGCCAGCCAGCAGCCATGTGTCTGTTGACTGGCTGGATGCCGGGCAGTCGTGGTGGCTGTACCGACCCATTGGCTGGGGGTCCGGCGCCCACCAGGGGTTCCGACGACTCGCTCACTGCCAAGGGCGGCAAAGACCCACTGCCTGACGAAGGTGACGCGGCAGTGACCGTGGGTTCGGTGACATTGGAGGAAGTGGACACTGGGCGAGGCCACTGTGGGTAGGGCGGGGGAGGCTCTGTTTCAGTCGAGGAGTGGGAAGGGCTGCTGCTGCTGGCGCCCGCTAACGCCGACTGATCAAAGCTCACAGAGCTCTTGGGCGGCCTCTTGACCGGCTCGTGTTGACTCACCAGCGCTGCTGCGTCCAGATGCATCGTCCCGCTGACTCCTGACCCCGTCCGCTCCTGTCGTGTGGCCTCCGAGGAACCGTCGGGGCCCCTCAATATCCCGGGTGGCAGGTTCTGGAGGGGGGTCGGGGTCTCGCCCCCCCCGCCAAGAGCGTCCTCTGAGTTCCCGGTGATCTCGTTGCCAGGTTCGGAGGAGAGCGACTCGTCGGAGCGGGACCTGGATAATAACTTTTTTACTTTGGCATTCTTAGCAGCCTCGACGAGCGTCCCCCAACGCTTCTTGTTGGTCGGGCGGCCCAGTCTCGCCTCCGCCAGCCTGGCCAGCCGCGCCAGTTTGTTTTGAGGCGACCGCTTCACCGCCACCTCCACCACCTGCAGAGACCAGGGCACATGGGTCATCTAGGGTCACAGGGGCCCGACTGTATGGGACAAAGGAAACGGCGGACTCTCCCACCTCATGACTCAATAAGCTTTTTCATGATTTCTTTATACTCTTCTGTGAAAGAGATCCACTATGAATATATTCTTCAAATCCAATGAGCATATTTCACACATACACACACACACACACACACACTGTACATGTGTTGAGCACACAATGATATACAGTATGTATCTTGCGACATAAGAATACTAAAATAATAATAATAATAAAAATAGCAATACACTGAGAGGGAAGGTGTCTGCTGAGGGGAGGGAACTGAGGGAGGGGTAGAAAGTTGTGGCCAGGCAGTAGATCTCGACCCTACTCGATTTGGTTGAGGATAAGAATAGTAGTTTGTGCTCTCGTGGCCCACCTGTCTGCCTGGAGACATTGGCACACTAACAGGTCCAGTACCTTGACTGTCATTAGGGGGGACCAACAGTAAACATTGGTGGGAAGCTTGACGGTGATGGTGTGAGAGGTAGAGACAAATAAACACGATTCAGGGATTCCAGAATTTGTTGTTATCGAATGGGGAATCATAGCTTTACTTACAATCTTAATATGTGAGGTGGTTATTCTGAAAGAAAATTATGTTTGGAATCATTTAGTAAGTGTTAATGGGGGATCTATCATATATCGATATTTAGCCATATAGTGATTCAAGTGACACCTGAGATGTTAGCATGCGTTTTATACCACTTGCGTCGCAATTATGTGCCACAAACCTTCTTCTGGCTGCCAGCTCTTACCTCCGCCGTGGCCGGGAGAACAGTGGTCGCCCCTAAACTCTGGGTGGTACTGAGAGTGTTCACTCCCAGGTTGAACCCCTTCATGAGTCTTCTCTCCTTTTGACGATTCTTCTTTCCTCCAGAACCTAGAGTAGTAGTCCACAAGATTATTAGAGAAAACCATTTACCCAAACAAAAATAAACACAATACAGTTTTTCGTGATAGTTTTTGGGGAGGAGTTTTAATGATCTTGAGGGATTACATCACTCATTTGGTAGTCAAAGATTAATGTTAAAAATAATAGGAAGAAAGACATGAGAATGGTGCTGATTAAAATAAGAATATATTAAATGAATTCATTCAAGACTTGTACAAACATGTCACATGCAAGAAAACAATTCATTCTGAACGTGTTACATTAACAGTCTCATGGGGTAAAAAGTACTATGACCAAATGCGTCAACTAACGTCACTTCAGAGAATCTTTTTATTATTTGTGTATTCATAAGACCAATAGTTACAGCACTGCATCTCACAAGAAAGAGGAGGCACCAGTGTGAGGCCTAACACTACAGTAGCCAGACTTATAAAGACCAATGGTCACCTTAATCTTATAAATACTGTACAGGTTAAATACAGTTTGTAATTTTGTTGTCATCATCAGTTATCCCTTAATTAACAATTTTGTGTCATCTTCAGTAGGTACTAGAGCGAGTGTACAGAACTGCTTTGTTGATGCCCTGGCAGTATCTACTGTAGGTGCACTGCAGCCAGTACTTGATGATCAACAGTGGATGACATATGGTGTACACCCTATGTGATGTGTATGCTCAGTTAGTGTGTGTGTGTGTGTGTGCGTGTGTGTGTGTGTGTGTGTGTGTGTGTGTGTGTGTGTGTGTGTTGTGTACGCTCTATGTATAGTGTGTACACTTAATGTATTATGTCCCAAAGAGTCATTCTGAAGCCCTTAAACAGCCTGGTTGTGTATTGATTCTCTTAACAACCGAGTCCACCACTGTCACACCCACAAGCACTGACTGTCAGCACCCGTTTGCAAGATTATACTTGTGCTTGTGTGAGATATATGTGCTTTCTAGGTGAATACGTACGCCCGTGTGTGTGCGTGCATGCGTGCGTGCGTGCGTGCGTGCGTGCTTACGTATGTATGTATGTATATATATATATATATATATATATATATATATATATATATATATATATATATATATATATATATATATGTATGTATGTATGTATGTATGTATGTATGTATGTATGTATGTAATGTATATATGTATGTATGTATGTATGTATGTATGTATGTATGTATGTATGTATGTATGTGCACTTGTGAGTTTTTGCAAGATTCTTGAAGGGTTGTGGGATGGAAGAGAGGAGGAGGAGGAGGAAGCATGCCTGGTGCTCCAAGAGAGTCTGGCTTTCTGGTCAACTCTTGTCTTGGTCATGAGAGGCGGAAGGTTAGCAACGATACAGTGATCGCTGAGGCAAGTGGTGGTGTGATGCTCGAGGCTGGGAGGGAAAAAATCCACCGATGGACCCGAAGAGCCAAAATTGTTTTTTACTCTTCAGCTGAAAACAAATTCGGGAATTTAAAAAAAAATTCAAAACTGACAACTGTTTAAAGGACTTGAGTGCATAACACGTTTCTGGTGATCATATATAACAATATATAACAGGCTAAGATGCAGCTGGGGACACTCTCTTACTGCACTGGGAAAAGTAGTTGATGAATTAACTGAGATATACAGACCAGTGTTACAGAAAAAGGTGTCTAGCCAAGCAAAATGGTGCAAAAGATGCAGAGCAAGACCGCTATACCGTGCATGCAGAGGAGGCAAGCAGTTCCCCACGATGACGTTCTGGGACCTTTACTGGGATGGTGCAAGAACCTGTGACTCTGAGTTTCCTGTAGAGGTCCTTTAATTGGTTACCAATGTTCATCAAACAACACCCTAAGATCTAGTGACAGCTGACAGGGGAAGGAAGGGCGGAAACTTACATACTCTTGAAGAAGTGTCTCACCCAGCCTGCACACCCTCCACCCAGCGGTGTGTGGCTGTGTACCAGGAGAACTACACACCCACACACCGCTGCTGGAGGGTGTAGCGGCTTGGCCAGGAGGGTGGCTGTGTGGCCGTGCATGGTAGGTGCCTTCTACTGCACACAACACTCTTACGTGCGTGTTGCGCTGCCTATATATATATGAAGAACAGAAAAAGAACCAAGGCACAACGCGGTAGAACCACTAAAAACATTCTTAAGTGTAGCTACAGACAACATTTTCCATCATTAAGATAAATAAATATGACTATTAGGTCAGTAAATATGTATCAGACAGATGTGTGTTGTTACCTTGGTCCATAATCTTATTCTCGGACTAATATTCCCGGGATGATGCTCACTAGTGGATATATACAGTACATAGCGATGTGTTTAGTCTCCTCTCTTTAACGTACAGTATTCTACGCTATGGGAGGGACGATTTTTCCTGAGACATTGTTATGTTCGTCTTGTAAGTTATTACTATTAAAGGGAAGTTTATTTCTTCTTCTGTATTCTTCATGGCAGAATATTGTTGCAATTAACCAAACATTACGGTACTGGTTCATCACACCACATCAATACCTCAACCTTTGCTTATGTAAAAACAAACTTATTTATCCTTCTGCACTATTGTTTTTAGTTAACGTTTCTGAAACCTTTATTTAAGGAGGGTGTGGCCATCCTATTATCACGCATCAGTAAAGTGAATGATTAAAATCTGTGAAGAAATAGGAGAAGAAATCCTCCTTCAGAAATCTGCCTTTGTTACTTTAGCAGTGCCTGAAAATTTAGTTCTTAATAAAATCTGTTTATGATCACAACAACAAAATTTAAATAAAAACAACAGGTTGTTCTAGGGCCTATGTTAGACACTACCTTGGGGGTGCCCTCATCCATCATGCACCAAGCAACCGCAAGCAATAATCTTCCTCCAAGCAGCTGAAACCACCAGCGTCCCTTTAACACTGTCTCGAGACGGTTAAAAACTTTTCTGTAAGATACGACTGTGTTAGTCAGTCAATGGTAAAGTTCTTAGTTTACTCACTCCCCTCCCCCCGTAAGGCCCTGCCATGAGGACTTCCTGTGAGGGTGTCCATAGCACAACCACTCTCCTGGTGGGGTGATCACTGGACAGGGGGAGAGGCAGGCTTGGACGTGGACGAAGGGACGTTGATAACTTACTGCCGCGGGGGTGAATACCTTGACCTGAGGTGGTCGCCGTGGAAGTGTTCATTCCTGAGATCTTGAGGATCTCCACCAGTTCGCAGCGGAAGGCCGAGATGTCTTGCTTGATCTCGTTGACGTCATCTTCAGTCACGCCCTGGTTTTCGGCCTTCCGCTGCTCCACCGTGACATAACGACGCACCAGGTTCCTCATAATGCTCTGTGAGAGAGAATCATACTATCAGTAGGCTCCGTGGGGAACAACCTCTTACCTCTGGGCGAGTCTGTAGGAACACGAGTAAAGGCTACCCTCATCTGTGTACTGAATCTGTAGCCAATCCAACTTATCTCCGTCATGTAAAAAAAAAATCATATGTAGGGAATTTTATTTGTACACTAGACTTGTTCACTATGGCTCTACAAGATTGATCTGTCTTATGAGTGTTTGTCTCCTAGTAAAAAAATACCGTAACTAGTTTTGTAGGTAAAGGAGAGTCGTACACACCTCACCTGCCAGAAAGTTATTTATATTTACGAGAAAAACAAGATGCTGTATTAAAATAAAGAGAAGACCTTAGATCACCAAAGCTTGATGCTCAGCTCTACTTGGCAGATGATACTTTTAAAAGCCTGAGTCTATCAAGCTACAAAAGCAGAGGGAAGTGAAGGAGACTCTACATAATAAGGGAAGGCGTTTACTAAAGGTGGTGATACAGCTTTTAATATAATCTTTCTATAGTGAACCAGGTGTACACAGAGCCTATGTATAATGTAGCCTTTTGGTATAGCGAACATAAAAAACCTACACCTAACTTGGCTTAGACTTACGAATTTAGTCTACGTTTGGTTAGGTTAGGTTTGCATTCCTAAGTCGCGTGTTGGACAGGACACTTATAATTTAACACACAGGCTCTGGTAAATCAGGGTCTCTAGCCAAAAAAAAAAAAACTATGATTTGTATTCGAGTGTGAAGCCATTTTAATGATTAAATTCAATATGACTATGAATACTATTAGGTCATATTTACACACACACACACACACACACACCTCCAGGGCTCAGTGTGAATACCGATAAATATATAAAAAGCGATAAAACACACTCAATAGTTTTGTTTGGGTTGGTTGTCATGTCTATAGCCCTGTGTGTGTGTGTGTGTGATGGAGGAGCTTAGGGTTGGTGGGGAGGAGGAGGAGGAAAGATGAATTACAAATGTATGGTAACTAATTAGCCCAAACAAGAAGAGGCTTTTAAAGATCTCAGCATAAACTACACATCATCCACTACCATACTGTCGAGCGGAGGAGGAAGTTTTAAGACAAGGGCGCTACGACGAGATGATTGTGTTAGAGAAGCAGAGTAATGAGACATATGGCTGAGGAGAGGAAAAGACTGCCAGAGGTAAAATATCCTGGGGGGGGGGGAGGATATTGCTGCACCTGTAAAGCAATATTAATAGACGTGGTAATATTAATAACTATTATACTAAGGCAAACTATATAGCATCAGTGAATGGATCAAAATACTGTCACGAGGTTGATAGGAAGGGAGGGAGGGAGGGAGGGGGTGAAGTGACGTCACAGGATAAACACGAAGGGATGATGGCTAGCTGATATAAAGGGCGCCCACTACTTCTCCACTACCACACCACACCACACCACACCACACCACACCACACCACACAACACCGAGAAGAGAGAGGCGGGAAAATATTGAGCGCGTAAAGAAGAGAAATATTAAAAAAATCCAAATGTTATATAATCGAAATTTTCACTTTTATTAGGAGAAAACAAATGTAGGGATATATTTTGTTTATTTTTTATATATTTTTTTATTTTTTTTTTATCATCAATACTTCATGGTGCTATTGTGTGTTTTTCATGATGGAGTTAAGTTAATTAAAGTCCAAACGTAGACTGGATGTGAGGCGACTGGTACAAGACACCTTAACCAGTCAGTAATATGAAGCGGAGGGACTCACTTGGGCCAGGTCACTTGAGTACAAACCAGGTAAGGACATCTTGGAATGACTGACTGTATTGTGAAAAAAGACTGTTCATGACTGTTGCACCATAAGGGTATAAGTGAATGTAGTTCCCGTGACAGTCAAGCCTTCACTCAGGTCTATCAGGGACAGTTAACTAAAACCTTCAACTCAAAGATGTTGGAATGGTGTGTCAATTTACCTGTGAACTGATCTTCCCTACCAGGTACACCGAAGCTCATTAACACTTACGACTGAACGACCTCTCAAACACCTCATTAAGTTATCATCATTTACACCTGTCCTACACCTGAGCTGGATATTAATTTGAGTGTATATCTATTTCAATTATGAGTGCACACCTGTCTTACCTCTCAGTGTGTATATCTTCTTTACACACACACACACACACACACACACACACACACACACACACACACACACACACACAACACTGTACGCGTGATGACCATAGTTGTGTCTCAGTACAATAAAAGAAGTGAACGAGATATTGAATTGGTATTTACCATAATTCCTTCCAAGCACTTAACTACCTCAGCCGCAGCCAGAGTAAGGAGTGTCTTTATACCACCTGATTGTAACTTGGTATCAGAGGAGGGTATGAGGGAGGTGCTGGGTCGGGGCATGACCTGTTGTCCAGGTCTCTTTGAGGGGTGTAGGGAGCGTCACTGTGGGTCTGACTGTAAACATCTGAAGGAGGGATTCTTGTGATGAAAAACTTCCACGAGGAATTCACACAATGAAGAGAATATTTCTCTGTACTAACTTATGTGTGTGTATAAACTGAAAATAAGCTTGAGGTGAACAGCCTGTAGGACTTGTGGAGGGGCCGTGTACTGTCACAGGTGAGCTACGGGCAGTTTACAAACGTTGATTACTTGCCTCGATCAGTCATTACCGTCCTACTTGATCTGTTTGCCAGACCTGGGCCAAGGTGGGATAACTATTGGTCACCAGTGGACGACAAATTCATTTTGTTTTAATATTTGGGCAATCGAGGTGCCTGAATCGACAGGCAGAGGCGTCAGAACAAAGAAAGCGAGAGGCACAGTCAAAAGCAAAGGACAACAAAAATATATAAATATTTATATATAAAATAGAAGCTGTGAAGAATAACAGAGAGACATGTGATTCGTGCGACTGAGTGTGACCCCAGACAGGAGGAGTAACAGTAATGCAGTAGCTAATGACAGGTAAAGCCAGGTGGGGGAACAAGCAGACTGCTGGGTGGCTCTTAAGTCCTCTACTACCTCGAACCTCAGGGCTGGTGAAGGAGGAAGACCTCGGACTATGGGAGTGGAGGAGGAGGAGGAGGAACTCGGACTATGGGAGTGGAGGAGGAGGAGGAACTCGGACTATGGGAGTGGAGGAAGAGGAGGAACTCGGACTATGGGAGTGGAGGAGGAGGAGGAACTCGGACTATGGGAGTGGAGGAGGAGGAGGAACTCGGACTATGGGAGTGGAGGAGGAGGAGGAACTCAGACTATGGGAGTGGAGGAGGAGGAGGAACTCGGACTATGGGAGTGGAGGGAGGAGGAGGAACTCGGACTATGGGAGTGGAGGAGGAGGAGGAACTCAGACTATGGGAGTGGAGGAGGAAAGGGAAGGGAGAAGGCAGAGGAGGAGGTGGAGGAAGAGGAAGAGGAGGAGGAAGAGGAAAAGGAAGAGGGGAGGAAGAGGAAGAGGAAGAGGAAGGAGGAGGACCTTGAATGAACAAGAGAGAGAGAGAGAGAGAGAGAGAGAGAGAGAATGTGGAGGAAGAGGAAGGAAGGAGGGAAGGAAGGAAGGAAGGAAGGAAGGAAGGAAGGAAGGAAGGAAGGAAGGAAGGAAGGAAGGAAGGAAGGAAGGAAGGAAGGAAGGAAGGAGAGGACGTGAGGAGATGATAATCAACACAGCAGACGATGATGAAGCTTTTCTCCATAACAAATGCAAGAGAGAGAGAGAGAGAAAAGAAGAGAGAGAGAGAGAGAGAGAGAGAGAGAGAGAGAGAATAAAAAATAAGACTGAGCTTTGGGAGGGAAATAAACATACCTGATATCTTAATTCCCTCTCGCTTGCTTGTCTAGCCTTCCTCTGTAAAGAACAAGAGACAACCAGAAGTGTGAGAGACTCTATAGCCATGTGTACTCCTCGGGCCTGCCACCACTCTCGCCATCACTACCACTGACATCACTACCCCTGACATCACTACCCCTGACATCACTACCCCTGACATCACTACTGATTTCACCCCTGACATTACCATGATTTTACCCCTATTTTCATCCCTGACCTTATCCTGATTTCACCCCTGACATCACCCGTTGACATCATACCTGATATCACCACTGATATCACCCTTGACCTTATCCTGATTTCACCCCCGACGTCACCCTTTGACATTCCTGATATCACCTCTGATTTCACGCCTTACATCATCTTGATTTCATCCCTGACATAACCCCTGATATCACCCTTGTCATCACCCCTGGTATCACCCTGATTTCACCCATGACATCACCCTGCCATCAGTCACTCATACTGACATCCTCACATCTGCCTTTACCGTGACATCAACCTTGAGTCACCCTGATATAACTCTGTCAACATCATCTGTCATCACCCTGACACTAACATCATCATCTCAAGGTCATTCAGCCATTACCACCCTGACTTCCCTTTGGCATCACCTAGCCATCACCCAGTACAAACAAATTTTCACATACGCACACACATATAACACACCCAAACACATGGCTACATATACAGTACATACATATATCAAAATGTGTGAAGAAGTATATACACACACAGACAGACACACACACACATGACTTTTGACAGGAGACAATACAAACCCACCTGTATTAACCCTTTAGAATGACACCTGTAAAATGGCTTACCCCAGGAATACTTGCCTTCAACTCTAGTCTAAAAAGGCATGATCGAAAAATATCCCCCCCCCCCTTCAACTAAAAGCCCTTTGTAATACTCCTACTTTAAATGGCTTGTATAAATGTATCTCAAAATACCTTACCCTAAAAGGCACGAACACCCAGTAATAGGTAATGATCCAATTGACCCATAAATGTCCCTATAGTCTTCCATGCTCTACTTAAATGGCTGTATAAATGGCCCTTCTTATTGCTTCTTATATCTTATGGTAATTATTTTGTCAAAGGTTATTAAGAAGACAATGGATCTCTTTCCCTCTTCCTTCCTTCCTTCCTTCCTTTCTTCTTTTCCTTAGTTATCTTTCTCTCTTCGTCCTTCCTTCCTTCCTTCCTTCCTTTCTTCTTTTCCTTAGTTATCTTCCCTCTCTCCTTCTTTCTTTAATCCCCCTGCTTTCTCTTACTTCTTTTCTACATCCTCCCTCATCCCTTTCCTTCTTCCCTAAGTGCCCCTCATTTCTTCCCGTCCCCCCTCAATCCCCCTCATTTCTTCCCCCCCCTCAATCCCCTTCATTTCTTCCAGCCCCTCAATCCCCTCATTTCTTCCGCCCCCCTCAATCCCCTTCATTTCTTCCCGCCCCCTCAATCCCTTCATTTCTTCCCGCCCCTCAATCTCTCTCACCTTATCCTCCCCCCCTGCCACCCTCTCCCCCTTCACCCTCGCTCCCCCCACAACGTCTCCGTGAGTATCTAAGACGAGCGGATCCTTCCTTGTCGTCAGGTGAAGCACAAGAGGTTCCTACCACAAGAGCCTCTACGGGTATACACAACCGGGGGACATAACTGAGGCTGTATACATGGACAATGCAGATTAGAAAAAAGGGGGCGGGGGCGGGGGGGGGCGGGGCGGGGCGGGGATAAACACGCACAGTGCCATAGAATTTGTGCGTATGATATAAAACAGTGCTATACCAACTGTGATTTATAACAGTGCTGGGGGCATACCCAGGGTGTGTGGTGGGTATGTGCCTCTGTATGCTGGGCGAAAGTGGGGGGGGGGAGGGGGGAGTGACAGTTACCACGTATAAGGGATATGCCTGTACCATAAAAAAAACATCGCCAGTAGAAGCAATCAATAGTGCCTGGCGTTGTTTTATTAAATATCAATGATATGCTGATAGAAAGTACCTACGCCAGACGAACGGACTTTCTCCAGCACTGGCGATCTTTTTTAGGGTACAAGCATTAGTGTCTTACCAACCAGGTGACCATCACACTGTTACGTCAGCATTTAAAAGACTCAGGCCAAAAAAGTTGACCGGAAAAGATGCAGTTTTTTAGTATTTAGGAAATCACTTAAAAAAAAAACCAATCACGTTAACAAGAATATTGAACCAAAAAAGTTGAACCTGATTTCAAAATAGATTTGTGATTTTGTTTTTGTTTTAAAGAAATTATTTACAAAGACATAAACAAAAATAAACAAATAAAATATATATTAGGTCTGCAAGTTATGATAATAATGGGAAATAGACCGAATTTTATATTATTTTAAGTTATCTGGCGTAAACACTAAGACCTAATGAACATTTAATAATAATAATAATAATAATAATAATAATAATAGATCATCTATTCTGGCTAACTAAAAATATCTATATATATTGTATACAGTAAGACCTGACACTTTCACTTTAAAATAACACTACAATAACAAACTGACCAGAAAATAGACAATAGAAAAATTATGAAAAGAATAAATTCATGTTTTTAATAATGACGATGTAACATTTGGACACAAAATAAAGACGAATTGTTAGTATTTAGACAGAGAGAGAGAGAGAGAGAGAGAGAGAGAGAGAGAGAGAGAGAGAGAGAGAGAGAGAGAGAGAGAGTACAGTAACTTAACGAGACAGAAAAATAGACGGTAAATTTTTCTAATGTTTGAGAAATAAAAATACATGCTTAGTGTTGACGGAAAAAAAATTACGATGATGATAAGTTCTCAATATATAGGAGAATAAATTGACATAGTCTAAAATAAATCTACCGTTTATCATAAAAAAAAAACCAAAACAATTATCTAACGTACAAGAAACCTTACGTCAAATTATTAAATATCCGCGTGTTACTTTATTTTATAGGAGAGTTGAAACAGTTATAGGAAATCCAACACCGAGGCCAATATATGAAAACAAAAGACGATCGTTTAATTCTCTCTCTCTGGAAAACTACGGCTATGTTACGTCTGAACCACAACGCCACGTAATCTATTAACATTACATCCTGGTGCTTCACGTATATTATGGAGACTTTTAAAACAAAACCATAACTGAACTGAGTATAATTTTACCGGGAATAGAAAACCGAGAATTACCAGAAAAAATCCCCACAAAACTGGAGGTAATTATCATTTATCATTTTCCTTTGTTTCTCACTGGAATTAATTACGTACGGCTGATCATGACTACAATTATTTTTTTCCCTTAAGATAAAGTGAAACAAAATAGGAAATTATTAACCCTTCCCCCCCCAAAAAAAAAGAATATATTAATTTAGTTGTCGACAAAATCAGAATAACAAAAACAAAAAAAATACATTAATTATATTGTATTAAAAGGTAAAAATTTGTTGAGTACAAAAAATAATTCAGCTTTTACAAAATAATAGAAAGTTAAAGAAAAAAAAATAGACCCATTAATAAATTATATTACGTTGAAAAATACCTAAAAAAATATATATCCACATTAAGAAAAAAATATATATGTAAACCAGTCTACATATATGCTAACGGTTACACTAACCAGAAAAATCTTATATTAAACGAACTTTGAAGACGTGAAAAAATAAATATCTTAGAGGTTTATAATATAAAACTTACATTTAGCTAATAATACCTAATTCTATTTAAGTAAGGGTTTAAATAGTCCTAGATAATAATAATGGAATTTAGAGGAGTTCTTTAGTTTTAGATATAAGAAAATAATTTAAACCTATGGATTAAAAATTATTGATAGACTGTTAGGTATTATTAATGGGTAGCTGAATTTAATGGCTTGATAATAATAATAATGATAATATAATAATAATAATAATAATAATAATAATAATAATAATAATAATAATAATAATAATAATCGTAATAATAATTGTAATAATAATAATAATAATAATAATAATAATAATAATAATAATAATAAATAAATAAATAAAAATAATAATAATAATAATAATAATAATAATAATAATAATAATAATAATAATAATAATAACAATAATAATAATAACCATGCTTAATCTAGGAAAAATATATACCCTACTACATTGAAATATTTAGTTAGATATATTACTGAAAACCATAGCAAAAACCTAATCCCTAAATGAGTAATTAGGAAGAAGAATTATATAGTAATTAGGTAATGACGTTTATCGTTGAGTTATTTAGACAAGCGTTGTAGTTTATGTAGAATTATAAAGATCGGAAATATATAGAAAATCATATTACAGTAGTTATTGTAATATGCGTCTGTCCATGGAGCCCCATCCCTGTGAAAATATGTGGGATTATGCCTTACTGAAAACACTGATATTATTAGATGATATTTTGAAAGTTTATTGTGAGTTTATATATATTTTTAATGCGTTTTTTTTAATAATTCCAAGATTTTAATATGAAACTTTTGATAGAAAATATATAACATTATAATACTTTGGAAATTTTAACTATCTCTACGTCATTTGGAATCTTAGTTGTAAACATAACTGACAAAACAACTTTTTTTTTAAATATTAAAAAAAAATATTGCTGTGAAAAAATATACATTATACGGTTTGAAAAATATCATAGAGTGAATAAGGAAATTCCCAGAATATCTGATAAACGAGAAGAGACGAAAACCAAAATAAACATACGAAGTGGGAGAAAAGTAAAATAAAATACATATAAAATTAATAAATATATAAACATCTTATATAAATAATCAAGGCGAAATAGAATTATATAATGAATGAGAATAATGACGATTAATGATAATATAGAGAAGAATGATGATCAGGAAAAAGGGAATTATCATCAATATATAATAACAGGTTTACATTAACAGCTGATTTGAGTAATAGTCTTAAAAGTGTTTATTTACCAAAGAAGAGAAGGTGATAAAGAGGGTAAGAAGAGGAAGTTAGGTAAAAGGGGCAAGAGGAAGAAGGAGACTTAGGCAATTGGGCAAGATAAGTGAAATAAATAAAATACAGAAGAAAACTTAGGGCAAGAGAAGGAGGTGGAAGAGGAAGAGAAGACGAAGGAGGAGTAAGAAGAGGATAAGAAGAAGAAAAGAAGAAGAATAAGCAGCAGAAGAAAAAGAAGAAGAAAGAGAAAAAGAAAAAAAGAAGAATGAAAAAGAAGAATGAAGAAAAAAGGAAGAAGGAAGGAAGGAAGGAAGGAAGGAAGGAATAAGACTTACCCTAATAGTTCTCATGTGTTCCTTCTTGGCTGCTTTGGTCTGGCCACAGAACTTCTTATAGAACCAGTGGAGGAGGTAGTAGAGGCTCTTAGGTGTAGGGATGGTGTTGAAGGGGGGTGGACATGTTCCCCCCTCTTCAAAGAAACTAATCCACAACTTGCTACGGGCGAATTTCCACTCAGTATCCGCCCGCTCCTGTGGTTGGAAGGCGTGAGGGTGGTGGGCGTGAGGTAGTGGTGGTAGGTAGTGGGTAGGAGGGAAGTAAAGATAGATTAGTTAATTATGTATTGTTATTTTTTTAATTTTGTGAAAGTGTGGATGATTATCATGCACATGCTGACTCACTTTCATCAACAAGCTTAATATATCAGTAATTGGTTAACAGAGGTCGTGAGTCTGTGTTTTATATATATGTAAATATATATGATAATAATAATAATATTAATAATATATATAAGAAATCGTTCATCTAAACTCTACACAAAAAATATCATCACCAGCATTTGTTTTCGAGAATGGTATTAAAAAAATATCCCATAATATACACAGTCCATAGAAATAATAATAATAATAATAAAATATAGATATTATTGGCTTGCTTAATCTGGTTGCCAAAATAGAAGGTGAGTCAAAAATACCAAAATCTGGGTTCTTTTTTCCTTCTCCGGCAACCACAAAATTGTTTCATTGTCAGTCATGCGGATGCTGCGCTCTCTAGGGAAAAAAAACAAAAACAAAAAACAAAAACAATATAAAATGGCCACCTAGTTCTGGAGGAATGAGTTAAACACACTACATAATATCTCCCTCTTGTGTCATAGTTCTTAATTAAAACAAAACAAAATCAGAACGTAAGGGTTTTAAAAGAACGATGGTTTAATCTTTGAGGACGATGATAAAGTCTTCAAGGACGCCATTACCATTGTCCTCAAGGGGTTAAGGCGTTAAACTATCCATCGTCCTTAAAGTGTTAAACCATCGTCTTGGATAGTTTAAATTATCCTGGACAAATTGGTTGGTTATCTCGTGAAGGCATATTGAGAGAAAGAGAGAGAAAGGGAGAGAGCAAGAGAAAGAGAGAGAAAGTGAGGAGTGGTCATTCATTCCTTCAGAACTGGCGGGCGTAGCAAAAGAGCTTTTATCTACGAGTGGATCAAGACATACGTGATAATATTATACAGAAATAAGGTTTTATAACAAATATATCACCCTAAGAGAGAGATAAAGAGAGATAGAGAGAAAGAGAGTTCTAGAAGTTTTAAATTTACTGCAAAAAAAAAAAAAAAATAAGATTCTGACTTAGATTTTAATCCAATTTTTTATTTATTTTTTTTCTTCAAATCATAATAAAATCCAAGAGGAAGCTGTGTTCTTAGCACTACATCAGCGAAGCCTAGTGACCATAAGCACATGTTACTCTTTAATGCGGACGTAAATCACGCTATATACAGTGACATGGGAGGGAGGGGGGGGGGGGACAATATGGGGTGCGGGAGGGAAACATGACAAGAAAACAAAAATAAACAGAAATAAAAATAAATCATGGGAGACAGGGAGGTCACTTGGGGGAGATGATGCAAATGACTCTTAAAAAATATATCTATAATAACAGGGAAAGAGGGAGAGGGGAGGGAGTGGGGGGAAAATAATGAATGTTTATATAAAATTAGTGATGCAAGAGAAAATACCAGAGGGGGCATTACCTTGAAACCACTTCGGCCCTCGATAGGTTTAAGGAAATAAAAAAAAAGGGATAAGACTGTCTTAGTTGTGGTGCAAGTGGGTACGGTGTAGAGCAGGGGTCACCAAACTTTTTTCACAGTGGGCCGGATAACTGAAAGAATGACGAGCGCGGGCCGCATAATCATTCTGTTCAATACTTGCAAGCCAGAACGAAAGCTCTGGTAACGTCAGAGCGTAGGCGGAGCTACCACGAGCCGGGGAAGGACTTGGGATCCGGCCCGCGGGCCGTAGTTTGGTGACCCCTGGTGTAGAGGGACAGACAGACACTCACAAACTTACATACGGTCGAGCTCTCAGATAGTCAACAAACAACACTTGGTAATCTGTTTATATACGACCGTGAAGATGAATGGTCTTATGTATGAATAAACTTGGTGAGAAAAAATTGTTTGTTTACATATTAAAATAATAGAATATAGTCACCAGCGTAAAAAAAATATTTAAAAAAGACCAAAAATTTCGACTTTGCGTAAAACAATACCAAAAGAAACATATATTTAGTGTATATGTAAAGTATTTCCTATATTATTGGTATACATTCTACATCGAGTATACATAAAAGAGTAAACTAGGTGGTATAGTTAATTTTAACGTACATTTAGCGTTAGTAATCATACATAATCAAAATTTACGTGAGAACCTATGGTTAATAGTGAATAAACTTAGTATTTCAAAATAAACATTCCCTGAATTACCCCAAAATACAGCATTGAACTAAAACACAATTCCTGAGTTATTATAATACAGTATACATCTAGTTTACTTCAAAAAAATATACTACTTTATACAGTATATTCCAAAACACAAAGGACTTACTGCCCAACTGAGGCACTCTATCCAACTGAAAATTCAAACGTGTATCTATCCGAGAACTCGTACCGCTTTAAGATTATAATATATACACATGCGTCCAATCCAACTTGGGATAGAAGTAAGCTCAGTAAAGGAGATAATAATGATAATAATAATGATAATAATAATAACAACCAGTGGATAACATTCGAAACAAAGGCGTTCAAATTATCTACCATTACATAAAAGGTTATTAAAGGGTTACAGGTCGAGTTATAGATACAGGGTCGCTTAGAAGCCAAGGGATACATAAAATACAGCTTAGTTATATACAGGTTAATCTAAGTATACTGTATTGGAGTTATTACAAGCACAAATGAGGTAGTTTAGCCTAAAAATTAAATATACTATCAAAGAAGATGAAGAAAAATAATAAGGACAGACTATTTTATTTATTTTTCTGCCTGTGTTTCGAGAATCCAACGGAGATAATTTTTTTTATTCCCTTGAGTAAGATCATGATTTATTCCTGATTTGAGCACGATACTAACCCCCCCTCCCCTTTAACCCTCCTCCTCACCCCCTCCCCTCTCTGAGTACAATGACATTATCCCATTAGGTAAAAGTATCTTGAACCATTTGAGTATGATAATTGAACCTATTTATTTAAACTATAAAATCTTTCCTGTTTATCTTCTCTATTTAGCGTCACTTCCTAGATACAATGTAACTCGTACTCAGCGGAACAAATTATATCGTACTCAAAGGATTAAAACAAAAGACACCAGATTTAGTACTCAAGGGGGTTCAAAATCATACTCGTAAGATTAATTCACTGTACTCAAGGGGTGTTAGCACCGTACTCAAGGGGGTTTAGCATGGTACTCAAGGGTTTAAATGAAGTCTGAATATTTATTGTTATTTTAATACTTTGTAAAATTCATTAGTAAGACAAATATAGGAATTAAAACATCTTGGAATATATACTGGAAGGTGGGGCTATTCTACACAGGTGGGGCTGTTAGCTGTCAGGAGAGGTAGTATCTGGTTATATATATATTATTTTTGGAGGGAAGGAAAGGGGGCTATTTTGATGACGTCATGAGGGTAAGATTTTTTTAGAGGGAGGAAGGGGGCTATTTTGATGACGTCACGAGGTTGTAAGTGGAATATAATATTTACACAAGTCATCATTGTTTGTTTACCTTTTGAGATACGATATTTATACCTGACATTTAATTAGCTTTTTTCATCAGTATAATTATTTACCTATTAGTTTATTTTATATTAATCCAAACGATAAATTAATTCAAAATAGGTTCATTATATAATTGTTTATCACTATGTTTATCACAAATATAAACACGAATGAGTGGGTTTTATATACGAGAGACCCGCCAAAGTTAATAGCGTTTTCTTATCATTATCTATTAAAAACTTTAGCCCAAACAGTACAAACTTTGCATTATTATCACTTTTTTTTTTTAATTTATTTATTTTTATTTATTTACAACAGAAGACCTCAGAGTTTGGCAATATATTAATCCGGGTTATTACCAGTCTGAGATAACCCAACCCTTAATACGAGTAGTTAACCCAGATTAAGCTCTTGACTCTACACTTCTTTGGTGATTAGTTTAAAATTAATTATGTCTTCTATATAATTAAGGGTTTTAAATTATCATCGGTCATTGAATGTTGCTACGAAATAAAAAAAATCACGGAACAAATAAAATCAAAGTTTACTCTAGAATAGTTTACACGTGATTAAGTTCTAGTTAGTATTTACACCTTTATTCTCAACCTCAATTTCACAAGATATTTATTAACAACAGATGCTTAAACACCTAACATAAAGCAAAACAATAAGTCACCATAATTTACCCAAGAAATAGATTTTATTTTAATTAAGACAAAACGATAACAAAGAACAAAAGATATTTATGGAAGTTTTTATATATATTTTATTTAAGAGAAGTTGACAGTAAGTAGTGGAGAGGAGAGGAGTACAGGAGGTGTTATTGGTCATGCATGGGGTGTGGGTGGAGAGTGGGGTGCGGGTGGGGTGTGGGATGTGGGGGTGAGGGGGTGGGGTGGGGTGGGGTGGGGTGGGGTGGGGTGGGTGGGGTGGGGTGGGGTGGGGTTGGGTGGGTGGGGTGGGTGGGGAGTGGGGTAGGGTGGAGGGTGGGGTGTGTAGTTTATAAGTCGGTCAGTCATACACCTACATGGTAGCCACGGGGATTTGCAAGTCAAACAGGGAGCAATGGAGAAGAGAGAAGCACAAGGGAGAAAGGGGGAGGGAAGGAGACAGAGAGGGAGGGAGGGAGATGTAACGTTATGGAAGGGTAGATGTACTGTACTGGAAGCTGTGAGGTAACTGGAGGGAGGGGGTCTAGCTGGTGGGAGGGGTCTAGCTGGGTGAGGTAACTGAGAGGGGTCTAGCTGTGAGGTAGCTGGAGTGGGAGGGGGGGTACTAGTCAGGGAGTAACTGGAGGGGAGGGGGGCACTAGCCAGAGGTAACTGGAGGGAGGGGTCTAGCTGTGAGGTAGCTGGAGGGGAGGGGGGCACTAGCTGGTGAGGTAACTGGAGGGGAGGGGGTCTATTGTGAGGTAACTGGAGGGAGGGGGGGTCTAGCTGTGAGGTAACTGGAGGAGAGGGGG